TCTCTCTCTCTCTCTCTCTCTCTCTCTCTCTCTCTCTCTCTCTCTCTCCTCTCTCTCTCTCTCTCTCTCTCTCTCTCTCTCTTCCATTCTCAACCTTAACCACCATTCCTTTCAATCTTCTCTGTAACCATTATTTAACCCTCCGTAAGATCTTCACGCACCTAAAAAATCATATTCATAACTACGCTTCTGTAATCTCCATCAACACTTCTCTGCATAAACTGAAGGCAGAAATGTAAAATAAGAGGAAGAAGTTTCATAATCGAAAATGAAGAAAGAAGCATAAGAGCGAAATTACCTAGAGATCTCTTCTTCATGTACATCGTGTTTGAAGAGACATCATACGCTTCTTCAGTCGGTAAGCCCTTTCACTTCTACGATTTATTTTTTTGATGAAGTTGAAACAAAACTCGAAATCAAAGCGTAAGAAGGTTTGTTTCTCGGTGGAGTATGAAGTAGAAGTGAAAGTCAGATGGAGAGATGAGAGCAAACGGAAATGAATATGTGCGGTGAGGACGAAGCCATGGCATGATGGTGGTGGACGGCTGAGCGAAGAGGGTGAAGAAGATGTCACGAACGGTGCAAGAGACATAGAAGGAGAGAAATCTATTTCGAGAAAGCTGAAGAGTCACTAAACCTATCCAATTGCCAAACGACATTGTTTCCCTTCTATTGTCATTTTTCTGTTTAAATTAATTATTCATTCTTTTAATAACCCAACAAATATATTGATAATACATGAAATTAAAAATGATAAGGTTGGTGATTTTGTGGAGTTGGATCAAGTTCGTGTGGGTTGGACCGAGCTTCATGATCCTTAGGCCCATTTCTTTAGTTTTTGATACTTGAATGAATTAAACAAAACAAAAACAACTCTTGGACTCAACCTGATAGGCCCTAGCACCCATATTGTTGTATCACCCCCCTCACTCCAGTTTTCACCACCCTGAGCTCATATTTTCATATTAAGATTTATGACTTTTTTTAGCTTTTTTAATATTTTTGTTATGATAAAAAACAAATAATAATAGTAGAATATATTAGAAATTTTTTAGGAATTAATTCTTTAGAATTCTTTTCACATAAAAAACTAATAAATAAAAAATACTTTTCCTTTTAGTTTTTATCCATATTTTCATGTCGGTTTGCCATGTTATTTTTGACGCGTTTGTTAATTGTGCAAGGTACAATTTTTATGCTTTCAATCATATAACGTAAGAGGTAGTTATATGATTGAAGCATATGGATTATTCTCGCTTCCGATGCGACACGCCTTATATCTCTTCGTCTTGAGAAATTCATATCATATTATATGTTGTCCTGATACATATGATATTTTATGATGCTTTGTGCAGAAACTTCTGATTAAGCGTTGCATTCGCAACACGCGTTTGATTTTATCTTTGTTAGATATTGTTTCTGACTTCATTTATTTCTTGGTGAAGCTTTCTCGACACGTGCTCCCTGCTTCTCCAGTGCTCTCGTGTGCTTTTGACGATTTTCTTGCTTTTGGTAGTCACCGTTACTACTTGTATATTTCTCCGCACTTTACTACTTTTCTAGAGATCATGAGAAGTAGGGGTTTACCGCTTTCTGATGCAATGAGAAGTAGGATAGAGATGTATGACGGGGGTCTCCATTGCTGATCATGTCAGGAACCCCTCTAGTTTATTTAAAGACCCGTTTAGGGCAATTCCGCATTGTGTGCATTTTGTTTGCTATTTGTGGTTGTTTAAAACCCTTACTTTGAGTATGTATTCTGCATGTGTTTTTATATTTGTGCCCGTGTTATTCCCTCATCCCTTATTAAAGTTCTCAAAAGGAGGTGAGCGAGGAGGGTTCACAATTAACCCCCGCAATTTTGTCTGTGTCATCTTTAGCTCGTGATGCACCACGATGCTTCAGAGTTGTGCCTACTCTTGTGTATAGAGTCGTCAAGTGAGGAAAGGTTCCGCAATCGAATCCCCATGTTTTGACACGAGTTCGCATTGGCCGGTGCTGATACTTTGTGATTGTTCATATTGCCTTTTGTCATCTACCTCGAACTCCTATATGTTGGTTGGATGTTCAGTCGCTTTGGACTTCACAATTTTGTTTTACATCTCACTCCCACTTGTTTGTGTCGAGTGATACGCTCCCCTTGACTAGAGAATTTTGTTAATTTTACTTACCCTTTTGTGTGTATGCTCTTTCGAGCTTGTTTGTTTTATCCTTGTATATACCATGCTCTCTCAGGATGTGCGTGTTCCTTTCGAGTGCAAGTTAGACCTTAGGTTGCAAACCATGCATGCTAACATTAGGTAGAGATTTCCCTTTCATCCTTGATGTAGGGCCATCGTTGCATGATAACATTAGGTTAGGAATAGGCTAGTCTCCCTTAGACTCTTTTCTTCTATTTTTCCATATGCATTTAAAATGAAAACCTTTTTCAGCAAGTCAAAAACATGCTAATCATACTTAAACCCTTTTTCAAGGTAACAAAATACAAACCAACTCAAACCTTTTTGTGCTCCCAAGCACATGTTCTCTGAAACCATTTCAAGTAAGGACATGATTAAATTATTTTTGTGACAACGCGTGAGTCACCAAAGGTCTAGCTGTGGCAGAAGGCAGAATTATCATTGTTCATAAAAAACACAAAACAAACAAAAACATGTGAGCCGAACTACGGTAACTCTGATTCCTCAAAAAGGATACGTAGGAATTAGGGTAGGGGCCAAGCAATTACAACTTTATTTTCCGTACATTATTTTCTCTTTTCTTTTGCATGCATTCCTCCTTCGTAGTAAACAGAGCATAGATTAAACACACACCTAATACAAATAACAAGAGTGGATACCGTAGAGTACTACAGGCGTGAGGGGTGCTAATGCCTTCCCCTTGCATAACAGACTCCCTTACCCGATATCTCAGTCGTAATACCGTGACTTCTCTTTTTTAAGGTTTTCTGGATGTTTACCTTTCCCTTCATATGGGATAAAAGACGTTCAATGGCAACTTCATTGTTTGATGATTTTCAGCCGGTTGTTTAAATGTAATAGCTAAGAAACCTTCATTAAATTATTTCATAAACTCAACCTTGATCTTTTCAAACATCTCGAGACGCATACGATGAACCTTCTGCTTTATAGGAGGACAACCTTCCTTCATCGGTAGATGGTGAACCACAATGTGAGTATCAAGCCCTGGCATGTCTTCATAAGACCAAACAAAGATCTCAACATAGTCGCGTAGCATCTGGATTAATCTCTTTTTGACATTGTCTTATAGGTTGACACCTATCCTGATTTATTTATTATCCTCTTCAGTACCCAAGTTCACAACCTCGACTGGCTCCTCATGCGGTCGTATGGCTCTTTCTTCTTGCATTAAGAGCCTAGCAAGCTCTCCAGGGATTTCATAATCTTTCTCACCTTCATCCTCGGCTTGATAGATCGGATTTTCGAAGTCATAATTTGCCATAGAAGAATTATTATCAATGGGATCCAGGGTGGATATGGATCTACAATTTCTTTATACTACTTGCTTGTTTCAATCATCCAATGCTTAAAAGCTTATAAATGATCCACAATTAGCAAATAATAATAACAACTCAAGTATTAAATCAATACTAAAGTGTATTACGATTAAAAGATTTAGAATTCTAAAAGAGAAATAAATTATTCTTCTTCAAAAGTTGTAGTTGAATAAATAAGGAAGCAAGTCCTTATAAAGGCGCACCAGTGGGATTGGGCTGAAAATCAAACATTCCAATCTTTGAATATTTACATGAAAACATGCCAAGATATAACCCATAAGGATAATTCAAATAGAAAATTTTTCCTTCATATTTTTCGTAGCCTATGAGTCACATATTCTTAATTATGTCGTGCATGAAAACAGGAAACAAAAAACTTAAATTGATATGAGTTGCGTTCAACTCAGGAGGCAGATGTCAAGACATCTGCTTTGACATCATTCAAAATAGATTGCTTCAAATGTCAATATACTTAGGAAAACATTATCAAAACATTGTTTTACCAAAATTGCTGCCAACAAACACTTACAAATTCCCCCTTTAGCAAATTTTGGCTAAAACATTATTTGAGCACATTACCAGTGCATTATCAGAGCAGCAACATAATCAAAGCAAGTAAAACAAAACTTCAGTTAGCAGTTAGTTGTTAGCAAAGGAAGATGTCAGAACATCTTATGAGACATGAGCCTCCCCCTCAAGTATTAAGCTCACCCTCAGTAAGTGGCCAGTCAGTCAATTTCTCTCCCCCTTTTTACTCATAATATGCCAAATAAAGGGACGCATTTAAGAGAGTATCAGTAATAGAAGTACATTCCATAGAATCCATAAGTCAATCACATGCAAATGCAAAAAAGAAACACATGGGTCAAATAAATAAACATCAAATAGTCTAACTATCTTCAGGACAAGTAGACTTGGCAGAGCTAAAACTTCCTTCCTCGCTAGAATATCCTTTTTTAGAGCTCACTCTATCATCAAAGATGTTGTCCTTCTGCAACTCCTTTATCATTTTCTCAAAAGTTATCTTTCTTGCTGAGCTAACTCTGATCACATCATCTAATTATTTGCAGGCTTTCCTTAATTCATTGATCATGTCATCCTTGGTGGAGGTCTTATTTTTAGCAGATGTAAAAACAATGTCTGGGACATGTTTTCCTGAAAAAAGCTTGAAGTGAAGGGTCAAAGCAGACTCCCTCTTGCATACTACATCATTACCAATTAGAATTCAAGGATGCTGATTATGATTAATTCCACAGATAAGAATGGAAAGGAAATATGCATCTTAATGGCACATGTTCCTGCATGCTTAATAATCTGATAAAAATGTAAGTACCATAATCAAACAGTTACTTGTTTCCAACATCATAAATAAACTTTCCTAAGCCATTAGTGATGGTTGATGTATGATTGCTAGGAACCCAGTTAGCAGCCCCAATTCTATGCAAGATAGCATATTTCATGCTTAGCTTGTTAACATGAAGTTTATTCTTCATGCACTCACTCACTTGGTTAGCAGTGATGGCTTTGCATTCTTGATTATCAATTACTTCCAACTCACAATAGTCATCTTCAGACCTATCCAGAAATATATTTATGATAGAAGGGGAAAATTTTACACAGCTACCTCTAACAAACACCTATCTATACTCGTTAATTTTATGAACAACACGGGCAATTGGAATATTAATAATAAATTCCTTGACTAGAGTCTCATAGCATTTGGCAAACCTGGTAACAATTTTCATCAATACAGGAGAAGATTACATCTCCATAATTTCTTTACACTCCAGTGCACCAGCTCCCAATTCTCTTTCAAGGCAAATTCTTATTTGAAATAAATACTTCAACCTTTCAGCATTCCCAACAGAATGGAAGGAAATGTTGTCAAGAGGGGCATCAGGTACCCTAACAGAAAGCTTCTTGCTTGTAGACTTTTTCATAGGAGAAATGTCATGGATATATTCCTCAACATCATAATCAGAGTCAACTTCTTCAACTAACACAACCTTCTTCTTGCTCTTAGATCTCTTTACATCATCATCATCATTTGTCGAGCTATCAGTTCTAGTTTTTCT